TCAATGAGAGATTTTTAAGTACCCAGCACTTTTGAAAATCTCACGACTTGCTTAGTGCCTAAATGGGAGCTTTGGGTAGCTGAGCTCTTTTGAAAATCTGGGCCTAGGAGCCTAATTTTAGGCTCCCAATTTTGAAAAATCTTGGCCTTGATATCTAAGCATCTACCAAAATCCCCCTGCGCTTTCAAATGCATGCGGCATTCTTCTTCACTTTTTGTCCTGGGTGCCCAGTGTTGCACACTGTGAACCAGCTGCTGCTCTCCATTCTAGAGGTGATGGCATCACTCCACCAGACCCCAGAGGACTGAGCTAGAGGACTGGGCACTATGGGCCCGGGCAACAGGAGTAACAGCAGATCAGAAGAAGGAGAGCTGACTTTGACACAGTCCCCCTCTCTGCTGGATCTGGTGGTGAGCTGGAGATAGGCTTCCCAGTGCAGCAGATGACTTCATGACATCCTTTGGTGTTGAACAATGTTCATAGGCCTAAGCCACCCAGATCCATGTAGAGCTGGCTCGGAACTTCCTCAAAGTCCTGAGATGCTGGAATCCAGATAAGGTTTTGGTTGGGGCCCATTGGGCTTCATTTCAGTTGCTTTTACCATGTTCTTAGTCTTGCTTTTCCTATGTGAATTCACTGCTGGAGAAAGTCAATGACTTTGACAGCTCTGCAAGCTGAAATGCTCGATTCACCCCCTAATAGGTACAGCTCCAGGAATAACAGTGCAATGGCATTCGATTCCTCCTCACGCCCCCACATCCCTGACCTATCTGTCTGATCCCTGCCCTGGATAGATCGCTTCTAGGAAGGAAAGTCTCGTTCAGTTTCCATGCCCATTTAATTGTTCGGTTATTTAAAAAAAGGACTTTGGCATCATTCAGTAATGAGCCCAACCCCTAGGACATACATTAAAGACACTGCCGTATTTTGGACTACTACTATGGAATACTGTTGTGTTTGTCATATGGAGTTTTCTCTTTGGGGAGCTTTTCTTGCGGCCACAGGCTCCTGGGTGGTGATTAGGGGGAGGGAGGGAAACAACGGCCCCTCCCCCATGGCCACCAGCAAGGGTTGGGCCCTGCCCCCCTCTGGAGCCAGAAACACTGAAGGAGCAGGCAGCCAGTGTGAATTCCCCACCTTCCTGAGGCTGGTGGAGCTTGGGCTTCTAGCTTCAGCCCTGGGGTGGCGGGTTCTGGTCCCCAGCCACAGGGTCTTTGGCCCAGACCCACTGGCTCCCACTGCCTCCCCCAGCCCATTGGCCCTGGCCACATTGCTTCCTCCATCGCCCTGGCCCCTGCTGCCTCGCTACCCACCTCCCCATCCAGGACTTAATTTGTCCCCCAGCTTGTTAGGGCTTTGGAAATTTGCTGTGAAATGTGATATTTGTATGTTTGTTAATATCACTTTTCACTGCTCCCAGCTAGCTAACAAGTCTGCTGCTGGGAAAAGTGATATTAACAAACCTACAGATATCATTTTTCATAGCAGCAGACTTACTGGCTAGCAAGTCTTAAAAAAGCAACCAACAAAGCAAAAGAAACAACAACAAAAGACAAGAACATGCAAGCACCTTATTTTTGTTTCTATTCTGTTTAGGTCCAGTAGAGAATAGAGACAACTGTACATTATTTGTATTATTGAATTAAAAAACCAAAAACCCTTACATAAATAAATTACAATAATTTGGCCATGTCTATGTGCATACTTATTTGTTTTTCCTAAAGTTAATTAAGTATTTTAGGAAAAATTGTCAGCGCAGTCACCAGCAAGAGTTGGTGGCCGCACTCTGAGGCCACCAAAAAAATTGTTGTGAGAACCCCTGGACTTAGGGTGACCAGACAGCAAGTGTGAAAAATCGGGACAGGGATTGGGTGGTAATAGGAACCTATATAAGAAAAAGACTTCCAAATTGGGACTCTCCCTATAAAATTGGGACATCTGGTCACCCGACCTGGACTGGACCTAGAGATTTCAGCGAGACGTCTCATGTAGATAAATCCTACTTGGGTGAGTAGAGTTTGCAGAATTGGGCCAGTAGGTATCTGATAGCCACCAGCTCAATTCACATAGGTCACTGAACAGCTGTTTTTAATACCATGTTATATAAGTGATCTTTTCTGGATTCATTTATCTGAATAAAAACACAGACACAAACAAAATGGCACATACCTGGGACAAGAGCCCAGATCTTAAAATGTTTTAATTTTGATTTTTTTTCCATTTTCTCTTGACAAATCACTTTAACATTTTTATTTACAGTAATAAAAATAAATTACTCTTAACCGATGCATGTATAATATACACACTAGAGATACAGTGCAATAACAGCATTGATTTATTGTCACTTGTTCATAAAGTGCATTGCAGGGGCTTTATTTAATCATAACTGAATGGGAGCGATACACTTTCCTTTGCAATCAACTTACCCATTCAGATTAAAAGGATAATGAAAACAGTTACATAAAAATAATTTGCTGTCCTGATTGTTCTGATTTTTTCCTAGTTCCCAGAATAATAAGTAAAATAGTTCTGAGACAATGTACGTGGGTCTGATCCCACAAGACCCTCTGTGTATGATATTTCCCTTGACTTCTCTGCACGCAAAAGGCTTGTGTTATTGGGATCTAGATCGGTCAAATGACTTTGTTCCTTCAAAAGGCTTCCCTTTTGTTCACTACTTTCGCCAGCATTATACAGACAGACAGCATAAAAGCTATGCACCAACCAGGTCCCAGCAAAGCATTTAGGCACATACTTAAGTCCACATTCCTATTCAGCAAAGCATTTTAAGCACACACTTAACTTTTAGCAAGTGGTTAAGAATGGGCTGCAACTTGGGATACTAGTCCTTCTGAGGGCTTCAGTGGGCCCCCTTAGCTGTGTATAAGCCATCCTTGGTCCAGGGATGACTTTCATCCACAGAGCCTGAACCTGCGTGCACTCACACCACTCCCCGATTCCACTGGATGCAGGTTGAACCCCAAAGGGCCCACTCGTGTGAGATGCCAAGAACCCCCTTACAAGATGCTGAACACCCTTACCCCCTGCCTGAAGCCAATGGAATCTGAGGGCAACTCAGCACCTTGCAGGATGAGGCCAAACCCCTGGATCTGGAGCGATGCCCCGTCTTAAAAAACAGTGCGACTCAATCAGATGTTTAGGGCTACATTCTTCCCTAAATCCGTGCCTTTCCCATTGAGGTCAGCGGCAGCTGCCGGTGCAGATTTGCGAGCAGAATTTGAATTTGGATCATTGACTTTTAGCTAGGGTTGTCCGTGTGCTTCCAAAGGGAAATTTGGCCTTAAGGGCACAAACTCTCCAAAATATAATGAATACCACAGGCCACATTCTGCTTTCAGTTACATAGTGGCTTAAATCCATTCTCTTCACGAGAGACTCCAGATTTTCACTGGTGTAGCAGAGCAGAATCTGGCCTGTATTTCTTAAATCTGGCTGAGTTTATCAATTTATCTTTAAAGGCTAGATGCACCTTCTGGTTCATAAACAAATCTCTTCTGACACTGCCGGAGTTGTGCAGCTCCACCCTCAAAGTAGAGCTGTTATTAAAGCCTTATAGCCGGAAACCTGTCCCTCCAAGTTACCGTTGATCGCTATATGCAGGGCAATTTATTCTGCTAGGAGCCTGATTCTGATCTCATGTTGGTGTAAATCAGGAGTCGCTCCACTGACATTAACTGGTTTACACCAGTGTAAAACTTGTAGTGGAGAAGTGAAACAGGCCCCAGGTGCTGTGCTGCATCAACTTTAAATCTAACATCTCCTTTGCCCATAAGTGTCTACATTCTCTTACAGATTTGTTCATTAGTGAAACTTTGCATTGGGATAAGAACTTTTTCTTAGGCAACCCAGGTGTCTTATCCCCTTGATCCTGCAATAAAATCATAACATTGCGTTTGTGACTTCAGAGTCTATTGATATGATAATGTGCTGTCAGACATTCAGCCTCCTGACCACTGTAGGATGCATAGATTGTGAAGGGGAAAGCCTTTGTCTAAAACACAATTATACTTGACATGAAACAGAATTTATCAAGGCACCCGTTATTCTCCTAACCCTACCCAGTTAGTGAAAAAGCCGATCTCCTGCCTGATACTTAGCATGTAGCTTCACTTTAGCATTTCTCAAGTGGATCACAACAACACTTTCCATATTGTTTTTCCAGTTCTAGGCTACAGCAGTTGCAGCCAGAGATGGTTGGTTTTGGAAAATGTTGCCAGTAGGATTTGATTTTGCAAAACCCATGGCCAGTTTGGATCCAGAGCCCATTTTATCCACATCTCCAGAAGTCTGGGATAAAAGGGTGTTAGAACAATGATTCTGGATTGCCTTCCCTAGTTATAGACTGTTCCATCTCTCTGCATAATTCACTGTATAGCATTTCATAAAGTTTTCAACTCTCTTCTTAGGGTCACAGGAACAAAAACCAAGGCAACTGCATTAGCTATTTTGTAACAGACAATTACGCCTTTATCATGATGATTCAAATGAAATTGTAAGAAGATCCCAGCCTTGCCACCTCACCAAGAGAAAAAGACTGGCTTTAACGAGAAGAATTAGAGGCAAATACCGCACGCATCATACACTTATTCCTGACAGTTAAAAATGTATTTTGTATGCCACTAATTATCACTATACATTGATACAATTTAAGTAATTATGAAGATCAAAGGCTTACTGTCAAGTAGAGTTAGACCCAAAAATTAGGTTTTTGTAAAAAAAAACAAGGAGGACGAACTTTCTAACAATGTGAATAGTAATGTTTTCATGTTTTTATTCTAAATTCAATGAAAACTATTTGTTTGGGATGTAAAAATTGTCACTGCAGTGTTTTGATTGAGACCCCAAAAGGTTGTAACTTTCCTGCTAGTGAAGTGAAATTGGTTTGACACAGAACGTGAAAGTGACAACTACAGTTTCACGGACCAAACTGAGGGTGGGGGGAAATAAACAAAAGATAAAATATATTTAAAAAAAAATTAAAAATGTCAACAATCTAAGGTATGGGTAGTAACACTGATAAAGACATATTTTTAAACATATGAGACCAGATCCATTAAGTTCAATGCAGGTGCCCCCATTTGGCTTGTGACAATGTCCCTTTTAGCTGTGCTCCCAAGCTTTTCAAATATTGTGTGTATCTAAGGAATATTTTCCCTTCCCCTCTCCTTCACTTCCACCTCCCCTCCCAACCACCCACCCACCTAGCTACCTACCTACCTACCTCTCAAAAAACCCAACAAAGAGCAACTTAATAAGTGCTTCCTACAACTATGCTGCTAGCTATCAAACATGTGGTAGGAAAGAAAAGGCAAACAAGACACCCGGATGTGAAAAAACTAAAAAGCAGATTCATGTTTCTCTGGTCACTCTGAAAGAACACTGGGGGTGGGTTTTGGTGGTGTTAAATATTTTGTGCAATTGCTTGAGGCCAAATTCTTCGCTGGCTTGCACTGGTGTAAATCTGGACTAACTCCACTGAAGTCACCGGGAGTTTTATTGGTGTAACTAAGATCAGGATCTGGCACTTCATTGTCAGTCAAAAGCCTTTTGCTTGCATGTGAGAACCTTGCATTCCAAGGGGGAGCAATGACTGAGGATCAAGCGTGTCTCAGTGAAAGACACTGGGGCCAGATCCACTCTGCCACTTACAGTGGTGAAAGGAGAGGAAGCTGCTGGAACTGGGCTGGGGCGACAAAGGGAAGATCAATACAGATGGCACTTGATCTGCAAGAAGACTATGTCCCTTTGGGATTTGCCATGGTGATGATGATAAGTGAAGGGAGGAGCAATAGCTCCACATGAGGCAACCATGGGTTTGGGGCTTCACAGCTTGGGAGAGGCTGGTGCTGGGGAAGTGGCTGCTGGGTGTGGCATGCTACTCATAAACATGGAGCAAAACTCCATGGTAAAATGCTACACAGGTTAGTGCTGATCTGAGTAGTGTTGACTCCCCACACTGAAAGATTTCATCCATGCAGAGGGCAGCAATATGCAGCAGCAGCGGGGGTGGAGGAAATAGGGCCAGGGCATAGAACCTGGCTATGGCATGTCCCTGATTCTGTATGTTGCCCACGATTTCCTACCTGCACTTGGGTTTGCTGGCATTGTTCTTTTTCTTATTCCAAAAGGCAGCCGGCTCTGCTACAGAGATAGGCATAGGGGCTCCTGCTCATCAGTGATCTTTGGTAGGTAAGTCAGTCACCCCATCGCAAGAGGGAATGATGAGGGGTCATTTTCACCAATTGTTTCAATGATGCACAGTTCATCTGTCTAAAGCTGAATTAGTTCACTCTGAACAAGGTGGCAACCTAAACAACAGTCAAACAAAATCCATGTGCTACTCAATAAGGTGGGAATGGGGAAGCAAGGATTTGGTCCTATGGAGAAATCAAAACTTTCCTGATATTAATCATTTGACCTTAATAGGTATAGGTCTGCAGTATGTTCTCACGGATATGCAAAGATGCTGAAGATCACTGTTACTATATGTTTAGTGGATAAATAACCTTGACTACATACTGAGCGGTTCCTCCAAAGTACGTCAGATCTTCAGATGGTGTGAATCAGTTTAGGTCTGCTGAAGTCAAAGGATTTATGCCAGTTCCCACCAACTGAGGATCTGCCCTTTATGCTCTGTAAAGCTACTGTTACCTACTTGTATCTCTTATTAATATGACAATAATTAAAGCAGACTCACTTCAATACCTCAGCATTTCAAACAGCTTGTGTCAGTTTTGGTTTCTTTATCGGACCTAATCCAACAGGAGGATTCTTGCCAATAAGCAATGGCCCACATTCCCCAGTGCACTCCAACTGCTTTGTGCAACTCCCATAATGCAAAGCAGCTGTAAGTTTGGCTCAGCTGACTAGTTAAACTGTGTTTACAACTGCTTGGCATCATTAGAGTGCTGCAAAGCATCCCCTGATATATCAGGCCCTATCTATCTCATATTCCTCTTCCACCAGATATTCTACAGTGGTGTAACTCTACTGACTTCAGTGGACTTCTTCCTGATTTACATTGGTGTGAGAGTGAACAGAATCACGCCAAGTGTTTTGTAGCAATGCATTCCATGGACTCAGCTTTGAAAGACAATAGAACATCAGTGTGTTATCATCTTGCATACAGCTTTACTAACTTGGTAAATATTTCCAATAATTAACCTAGCTCTCCTTAATAAATATTGACAAAGAGAGAGTGCTGCAATGTCGAGCTGGTCAAAATTTTTAGTTTAAAACTTTTTCCAACAAAAATGGACTATTTTCATACTGCACATTTTTGAAGAAATGTTCTGATATTTCCACAACTCAATTAAAAACAAACTTGGAGGGGGGACTTCAGGTTTTTTCCCTTTTCTATCCTTCTTTTTCCTGTCCTTCCCTCGTTTTTCTGATAAAGGTGGGGTCAGGGAGGGAGAAAGGAAAAACGGAGTGAAAAGGCAAAAACAAAACAAAACCCAAACCTGATTTTTTTAATTCAAAAATTGAAAACTGTCAATTTGAAAAGCTTCAATTTTTCTGTGAATTTTCAAATTAAGAGTTTTAGAAATTCTTCATGAAACATACTTAGCACTTTTTGAACATCTCTTGTTGCTTCTCTGAGACAACCACAAGGAAAGAACTAGATTAAAATGTTTCTCCAAAAGACCTGGGTCCAAATTTACCTCTGGTGTAGTTTCATTGGGCCAGATCCCGATACCCTTATTCTCAAGGAATTGCACAATGAATTCCATTCACCTATTCCATAATTAGCACCACTGGAGCAGGGTAAGATACTATTTAATGTGAGCATCTGACTTTAGCCAAGTGATTTCAATGGAGTTACACCCGAAAGAGATTTGGCCAGGTAACAGTATCTTAGAGGACATGCTCATATAATCTCTGACTTTTACATGTCAGTTTATAATCAGTAACTTCCTCATTTTAGCTAATCACATCCTAATGTAACACTCCTCCTCTGAGTGTCTGACATTGAGGGCCATAAAAGAACATTATTTTGCTTTGATTGCTATGCACCTATGTGATATTTAATCTACAGATCCCTGGAAAGTGAGTAAATTTCATTCACACCATTAAACTCCTTATGAGGAAAATTCTGAAATCAAAACCCTTGATAAAAGGGAATCAACTGGAAATCCAAGAAAATGCAAGATGTTCATTTTAGCTGTGTGCCTAGAGGGAACGTTTAAATGCTACATTTGATTTAAAAATACAAAATAAGCTGCCCAGAGAAACAAAAATACCTGCCCTCTAGATCAAGTCGTATAAAAACATTATTTCAAAATGTTTTTAATTAACTCGGCATTGAGTTTTCACATTTAGGAACTGCAGGAGGTTGTCTGCAACCATGGAAACAGAATAATAAATAAATGAACAGCAAAAACCTTAAATAAAATTGTACAAATATTGACTAGACTTTGTGCATGTTGTACATTGCTCCTCGTAAAAAAACTGAAAAGCTGGGACACCTTTAGGAGCTAGGAAAGAAGTCCAGGCCCAATGCACACATTTGAGATTCACAGTTTTGTCATGTGCACTGAGCTTTGCTGAGCTAGAAAGAGACCTTCATTGCACAGCTCCATAGATAAAAGATTGGTTCGCCTGTATTCAGACATAAATGAGGACACTTTGTCCTTCATGGAACTGTAATATTTACATGCGATGTTCTCTCTTTTATTGTTGTTTTTTATATAATATAAACCTAGGCCAGGTTTGCGACTGATACTGCAGGGATGAGCTATTGTTTGAAAGAGGGAGATTTCTGACGTTTGTAGCACAGGTTCCTTTCTAAGGGAGATAACGCATTTGGAGCATCGATCTCACAGCACAGCAATTTCCTCGCAGTGCGTTGAGAGAATAGGCGGTAAGACAAACCCCCCACTCAAGAGGCAACCGTGGACATTTCACCTATAGAACAGAGTCCCTGTCTATCTCTGAAGGTTATTTTGGTTTTAAAGGAATGCACTAGTCCACTTCTTGGCCAAAATAAAGCACAAGATGAAGGACACTTCATCATTTTCTCACTAACACCGCAAAGCACATGATAGAGTAGAGGAGCGTGAGGCTAGTGTAGCTTCTCTATTGAAGCAAGTTAATCTAGTAGTTTCGGGAACAAGACGTGTGACGATGTAGGCTTCCCTTTAGAAGAACCAACCACGTTCAGAATATCACTCTTTGGATCATATACCCCCACCCCACACCCGGTATAAGAGATCAGCATACTATATTAACAATACTGCTAAAGACAATGTGTTATACCTGCACTGGAATAAGTGAAAGATTAACCTAGGTTCCGATGTCAAGAAAACCTCATCTCTGACTTTCTTCCACTGCTTTCATCGCCCTGGCAGGGGGATTAACTAGATAACCTAAAAGGTCCTTTCCTCCCACCTTTAGATTTGATGATGCGCCGTAAGCATATCTTTCAGCAAGGAGTTCTCTTGACTCTCACATTATAATAATAAACAATAATCATACCTTAAAGTGCCTTTCATCCTGCAGGTTCTCAAAGTGCTTCACAAACAAACGAGATATAAATATACAGGCATCACTTCACCCACCACTGAAATGCAGCCACCTCTGAGGTGCAATGCAGCAGCTGAACAGCACATAGCAACACTATACAATTGTTTAGGACAGCAAGTGAAGGGGAATGGCCCTCATTTGTTCCTGCCTCAGGATCGTACTTCCTTTCCCCAGCTTAAAGGGGCCAATGAAAATCTTTGACTTCCATGTGCTTTTTTTTACAAAAATAAACATAAAATCGTAAGACAGGCCACTTGTCCTCCTACCACTGCCCACGGAGCTATCCAAACCTCGTGGTGCTGAACCGGTCTGGCATGAAAAATATTGGCAGGTTACCGCATCTCACAATGTCCCTTTTATTATTGCATAGCAGAGCAAAACCTGATTATAGTTTTAAAAAAATCACCACCACCACCACTAAAAACCCCTAACCCACCTTTCAGGCAGCGAAGCCGCCTGGATTTGGTCATTTTTTTAACCATTCCAAACAAACCCAAACTAACAGCAAGCAAATATCGTACACGTTTTTCTAGATCTTGCCTGAGCCCTCAGCATCAGAGCTGCGCTGGGCTCTAAACACGTCCCAGGCCTGACTTTCCCCCGCACTTGACAGGAGTTTGACTTGGGGTGACCCCCAGTGACTTCAGTGGTGTGGGGCGAAGGGAGAGCTGGCCCGAGGCCTTTCCCCGTTCCTAACCGGGACCTTCCCAACGGCCTGCCCCTCGCTAGGAGGCTTCAGAAGTAAGTAAAGAGTTGCCCGGGCCCTTGAACATTTTCGGGCCACAGGTTTGGCAAACGTGCTGCTCCCCCTTTCCATTACACCGAGATGAGAAAAAGCATCAGGAGCTGATCTTTTTTTTTTTGGTCTTTTTGTTTTGTTTTTAAATTAAAAATAAATAACATGTGTAGGAAAATAAGCATTTTTTAAAGGAGACCACTCTTGTGGTTTTTTTTCTTGTTGACATCTTTTTCCAGGGAAGGAGACGCGTCGGTCTGGGATTCCTCCTGCTGGTGGTAATACATCATAACAACGCGGAGTAGGAGAGCATGAAACCATTTGACAATCCGGGCGGCCAACCCCCCCTTATACATCACTGGATGTCCTGGGTCTGGAGGAGAAGGTGGAAGGGATGCACCCGCAGCAGGCCAGCCACAGGGACTTCTGGATGTCCGGGTTCCTGAAGGCATAAATGACCGGGTTGATGAGTGAGTTACAAGTGGCGGGCAGGGCCAGGGAGTAGGTGTAGACGGCGGGGTAGCTGGAATCCGCCACCAGCGAGTAGATGGCGAAGGGGATCCAGCAGAGGGCGAAGGTGCCCAGGATGAAGGAGAGGGTGGAGAGCCCCTTGCGGGTGGAGGTGGCCTGCGCCGTGGCGATGAACTGGTGCTGCACGGCGATCTGCTGGGCGTGCCGGAAGGCGATCCTGCAGATCTGCAGGTAGAGCTGCAGCATGAGGGCGAAGAGCAGCAGGAACGTGACCGCCAGCACCGCCGCGTTGTCCTTGGTCACCGGCCGCAGCACGCTGCAGGTGGCCTGGTCCCGCAGGCAGTTCCAGCCCAGCAGCGGCAGCAGCCCCACGCCGAGGCACAGCAGCCACATGAGCAGCAGCATGGCGCAGGTGAAGCTCAGCGTGCGCTCCGTGTGGTAGGTGAGCGCGTTGTACAGCGACAGGTAGCGGTCGATGGTGATGGCCAGCAGGCTGCAGACCGAGGCGGAGAAGGCGGTCAGCAGCAGCCCGGCCGCGCTGAGCGCCACGGCCGCGTTGGGCGGCTGCAGCAGGTACTGCACGGTGAAGTTGCCGACGAGCCCCAAGCCGGCCAGCAGGTCGGCCAGCGCCAGGCTGCCGATGAGCAGGAACATGGGGGCGCGCAGGCTGGGCGTGTAGAAGAGCACGGCCAGCACCAGCGCGTTCTCGCAGGCCACCGCCGTGCCCGTGGCGCACAGGGCGATGTCCCAGGGGCTGACCGCTCCGCCTCCGCCTGCCGCCGCCTCGCCTCCTCCCGCCGCCGCCGCCGTGACCGGCTCCGAGGCAGAGGAGTTGGACGGCCAGATGCTGCTGCGGCTGCTGCTGGGGAAGGGCCTGGAGGAGGCATTGAGGAGGACCCGGAGCTGCTGCTGCCGCAGCTGCTCCTCCATGGCGGCCGCAGCTGCTGCGGGGTTGTGGAGCATCGCTGGAGAGGAGGCACAAGGGACACAAGACAGGAGACAAGGGTGAAAGCAGCATCGAAAGAGCCTGGATTATCCACCCCCGAGCGCGGGGCCGCAAACGACACCACCAGACCCGCTGTCCCAGCCTGGCCCCCAGTATCCCCAATGCCAGTTGCACTGGGGACTGATCTGACACCGCCAGGATTAAACCACCAATACCCAGCCTGGGCCAGTCCCCGGTGTCACACACCCCACCCGCCTCCGGCAGCTGAGCGCGAACGCCGCCGCAGGAAACACCCCCAAACCAGACCATTTGATCTTTTTTAAAAAAAAATCAGGCTCGATCTTTGAATAAAATTATTTCCTCCCCATCTTGGCTATTCCCCTTCCTTTCCCCTGAAGGAACAGCTGGAGATTCGTCTGATCCCGGGTTCCTTCTAAAAAGCTGAAGGTGAGCAGAACCGAGTGTCGATAATTCCCCCGTCACAATGCTCTTTGCATTCGTTCCCATGAAAAGGGAGACGGTTGCAGAGCCTGTTACACGTATAGAGAGGTGCAGCTGCAGAGCCGGGGGAGAACGGTTCCAACACTAACCCTTGGGCACAAGCAATTTGTGGGTTAAACAGAGCAATGGTTATATCAGCTCGTCCCTTGGTTTAAATGTATCTTTCTGACCAAAATCATTTTGCTAGTAATAAATAAAAATATAGTATTTGTGGCCAGGCAAGCCTGATACTTAAGCAACCCTTCTGGTTACATTAGAACCCAGTGAAGGCTACAGACTAGAAATATTCTACATTAACTTTGCTGGTTTTCAATACTGGTGCGCTCAGGGGCTGCTGGCTGCAAACAACTGCAGAATCTCAGCTGCATTAAACATGGTCTTCTTGCATGGTAAATCCCTTGCACTAAGTAGGAACCCTTTAGCCCCCACTCCATCACATCACCTCCAACGCCTTGTATATATCGTCTCACATTTCATTGTTATGAAAACAAAAGTTGCAAAGGTCACAAATGGTTTAGTCCGGAATCTCTTCGTCAGGGTTTTTGCTGCCGCTAGTGCTGTTCATAATGCAATTTACCAGAGCGCTAGGATTAAAATATTGAAAGGGCCACCTTCTAACCAGCTTGCTTTCCAAGCTCAATACAACGCAAACACCCGTCCCCTTCCTTAGCCCGCAGAAGAGAAGTCAAACACATGCAACAACATAGGCAGACATGGATTTCTGTTGTTTTACCTTTGTTTGATTCTTGCTGATCAGCTTTCCCCCTTTTTTCGTGCTAGTCCTTCCAGTCCTTGGGATTAAGCTTCATTCCTTGGTTAACATTGCTAATAACGTTGGCAGATTGCTGGCATTGACTTGCACTTAATATTCTTGCCCCATTGGGTCTGCTGATATATCTCAACTCTGACGTCAAAGTCTTCACTTATATTCATGATCAGCTCCAAGTCTGTGAATCAGGGAAGCTGTGATCAGAATAACAACTAGTCTCCCTCCCTTGTTCCATATACACACGCATACACGAGGAGATACACACATACACATACACAGCGAGAGAGGCACACACACATACAATCCTCTGGAATTTCATTCATAAGATTTCAGAGACACTAGGACACACCTCCCCCAAGGTCAAATCTTTCACACCTGCATCTTGCGGATGTAGATTGGGTTACAGCTTGCTATGCCTGCCTAGGCATCCGGGCAAGATAAAGGCAAAACAAAGGGGGAAGATATATTTTTACTGCTGATTCTGATAAAAATATTTGTGTTGGCTGATGGGCAGTGACTATACTGTGCACCTACGTGTTCTGTCATTTGACCAAGTGCAATGCCCTTCAGACCATTTTTCCCAGAGAGCAATTCAAAGGCAATTCAAAAACCCAACCCAAACCCAAACCCAGTTTAGTAGGAAGCTATTCAAAAATGTATTCTGTACATTGCTGAAGAAAGACATTATTATGGATTGTCATCTGGCTGACAAAAATTGATTTCTGAACATACAGTGTATATTAAACCTGAAAGCATATGTAGCTGTGCCTGTGCATGTGTTTATATGTGTGTGTGTGTGTGTGTGTGTGCGTTTGCATATATGTGTGTGTGTGTGTGAGTGGGTGGGTTTATTATGCCTTGTATAAGCCAGTCCCAAAAAAATCAGTGCTACACCAGCCACAATTATCTATACATGCAACACATTTGCCCCAAAAAGCGTATACATACAGATGCAGATTTGTTTTATTACATAGATAGTAAAAGCTTCAGTCTAAAGCTCAGAAATATGCCTAATCCCTCCTCACCCCCTTTGAGATGGACTGTATTTAAAGTCTAATATTTTTGTGCTTGGACAAGAAAGAATGCTGTCAAATTTGACATGCCGCAGTCTGCCATCCTTAGTGCAAGGGAACCTGCGAATGATATTGATGGGCTACAATGACAGACTGGCATGCACTGTAATGGAGAAATACTAGAAGAATATTTAGTGTTGCATTTGCTTATTCTGCTCCTTTGTATTCCAACCTTATAACCTGGAGAGGTGGAGGGGGGAGAGGATGTGATAACTGCAGTGTCCCCCCTACAAAATATTGCTTCATATCACCGCACTGCTACAATGGAAGGTATAAACAAATTTCCTCCCTAGATATTCTATTTGGATGGTACTCATCCTAGAAAGATCACTCCAAAAGGCATAATGATTTTTTAATAACATGAGTGGTTTCATAATCCATAGAGTAGGTAGTAGTATTAAAATAGGAATGCCAAGAACACAGATCAACAATATAAGATAAAACGTGTATTTCAATAATATTTTAATGTCACAAATAAAAATCTGGGCTCATTTATGTATATTTTAAAAATGTAACCATACTGAATAAACTAAAATAATAATCATTATTATTAACAATAGTAATAGTTACTTACTATTATTTACTTACTTACTAATATATGACTTACTATTATTAACAATAGTAAGAAATACTGGCTACCTAACACTTCTTAGTTTTCAAAATAATGCAGATTACCTCTATATAATCAGTGAAATGAATACTAAGTGGGATTTACAGTAAATTCCTATTTAGGGCAGATATTTAGGGCTCTTTTTCATCAGGTTCATGGCAGTATTATGATCTGAATTTAATTGAGGTAGGATTTGTCTTCACCTAGAAGAATCATTTTATGCATCTAGGTTCTCATGCCAGGCCTATCTCTGGAGTATCTGAGATAGAGTTAATAGTCTCCTGTCTGGAGTTTTTTGCTCATGTGGTTACATGGCTGGTGTGTGCAGAGGGAGAGGGAACATGAAAAAGAGAGTGGGAAATCTAAATGAGCAAGCTGAATGAATACACTCACACTAACAGTAATTATACTGTAACACTGGAAGGGCAGGATGTCAAAGAATATTTGACAGACTTTGCAACTACAGCCTGGTATGATAAGATAATGGTCCAAATTGTGCTGCTATTATTGATCTTTGCTATAATTGCATTTAGAGGCCTTGATTGGTGCTCAGGACCCCATTGTGTGAAGCCTTGTACAAATCCATAACAAAAAGACAGTACCTACCCCACGAGTTTAGTCTATTCAATCTCAGTCCCACTGAAGTCATTAGGTCCCGTTGTGGGAGTAAGGCAAGCACCATTTGGCTGAAGAAAGAATTGATGATTTTAAAGTGGCGTGAGTACAATTCTCCCTCCCCCAGGATAAAGACATGAGGGGAACTGCTTCATCTACAGAACTTCCCATCCTGGGGAAGGAGTGGGTATCACCAGTTGGGGAGAGCTTGGCTAGGGAGCTAGAAAGGGATTCAGGGGCCCCAACACTATGGAGGAAGCACCCCGGGCCTGTGCACAGAGGCCTTTTCCCCTCTAGCAGATCTTGTGGGGGAGCTACCAGTTCTGGTGGGCAAACCCTCTCCTCCTCTCACAGGGAGAACTCAGAGGAAACTCCATGAGGAGAACCCCAGAGAACTTCCTCCTCCCCCCTCAGCCTGCCCATGGATTTGTCTGTGGGAGGGGAGACCTGGACCACAATATGGAGTCTGCTTCTAAATGTCATGCAGAAGCTCCTAGAGATGTGAAAGGATTGTTTTACAGCGCTGAGTTCCCACTTTAAACATACAGGGGCAAAACTTGAAGCCTTAACTCAGACAAACCTCCACATGGATTTGATTGGGGTTGAATAAGGACTCAGAGTTTGGCCTCCAGCAACATGCTATTACATGCATGGGTTTGTATGAGGGAAGACACCTTCATTCCTATAATTGTAAAGTCACATCACCTGCATTCTTGGATGGACTTTTCAGAGGCTATGGCACATGATTCTGCCTTCCTGGCATTGCCTTTGATGGCATCGTGAGCTTTGTTTTTATATTTAGATTGAGTATCGAATTCCGTAAAATAATCAAAGAACAGTTAAAAATGATCACTCAAACTCAGGTGCATCCATCAGACTGCCCCAGGGCAGTGCTAACAAGTGTGATTGGGTCTGACACGGCTCGTGCACCCCCAGGTTCCCAGCGACATTGGCCGCACTGCAAGGTAATCTTTACATAAGGAAAAACAGTTCTTGAGTAATGTCTCCAATACAAGCCGAACCCAGCGATGAGCAACTCCTGGGACATGATGAAGTCGCTCATCTGCTATTGACTACAGTGGAAGATGAAGGTGCTTAGCACTTGGCAGACAGACTCATGGCCAATTAGAAGCAAAAAACCCCAACATGCTTTCCCTTCAACATTAGGCATTCATAACCTCTGGGAGAGAGAGAGCGAGCGTGCAATTAGATCTTTGATCTACACCTCTACCCCGATATAACGCTGTCCTCGGGAGCCCAAAAATCTTATCGCGTTATAGGTGAAACCGTGTTATATCAAACTTGCTTTGATCCGCCGAAGTGTGCAGCCCCACCCACCCACCCCGGAGCGCTGCTTTACCGCATTATATCCAAATTCGTGTTATATTGTGTTGCGTTATATCGGGGTAGAGGTATATCTACCATTTATACCATCCTCACCACTATGTTGTCTAACTATAGTATTATGCACCAAGCAATGCTAATCATACTATTCTATTGCACTTCTCTATGACTTCCATCTGAAGGTTTGAAAGCACTTTATAAACACTAATGAAAATGGCCTGACAAGAACCCTGTAAAGTAGGCAGGAATTATGAGCCCTGCTTAGAAACTAGATGGGTCTGGTAGAAAACCCTAGAACAGAGAGACAGATGGAATAGTCAATGAAACTGAACTACAGAGATGGGATGTGACTGGCCTGAAGCTGCAGAAGAAGTCTCCAACAATGCGGGGAAGAGAACCCAGATCTCCTGAGTCCCACTTGAAGCGTAAGATCATCCTTAACCCATTTATCTCTGAGTTCTCCAAGGCCCCTCATTCCTCATTAGACTAATTCAGGATCTTGTCCCAAGCAAATTTTTTTTCTTTCTGGGATCTGCCTTCCCCTATTCAGTGGAGCTGAGTAATTATACTGTTGCAGTTCCTTCTCTTGGGAATTCAGTGAATTTCCTCTTTGTAATAGCTAGCATTTATCTAGCAACTTTCATCCCAAAGTGCTTCGTAAAGTATCCATCCACCTATTCTACCTACACAGGGCTTTAAAATCTGCTGCCCTGGCTGGTGAAGAAATGGGGAGCGGAGACTCTGCTAGTTGCATTCTCTGCAGAAAGGAAACCTAGAATTCCTCTAGGGGGATAAGGTACGTTTAGTCAAGTGCATTGTGCTGCTCCTTTGAGTAGGTGCCAACTGTGCCCTGGCTAGTGCCTGATATAGAGTGCAGCATATGCATTAGCCAGTTGGAGGGTAACTAATAGACTAGACATGATCCTTACCTGTAGGCCACACAGGTATATGAGCTCTGCCATGCAGATTATGTGGGGTGCAGATAGGGCTCCTTATACCTTCTCTCCCCACTTGCAAACCAGCATGGCTTAGGGCAGGGGTTATCCTCAAAGGGGGAATCACGTTGCTCACATCTCAGGCTGAAGATCCAGCTACTGTGCTTTGCCCCAGGGCTTGAGGGGATGCAATGGCCAGCAGAAATATCAGCAAATGATGGGAGGGAGAGTGGCATCAGGGGCATCACCAGGATCAGAATGTGCTGAGGTTCTTAACACTCAGGAGTGTCCAGGTAATCCAATAGCAAGGTGATGAATGCAGTATAAATGCCTAGATAAATAGCTAAATAGCTAGTGCCCACCATTGTAAGACACATGTTACAATATTTAACAATGGCCAAATCACAGGAGTAATACTAGTGCAATCTACAGGTTCAGGACAATTAATGTAGAATAGTTCTACTTATAACAACTGGCAATAAGTAAGAGTGTGTACTGTGTACTGATAGCTATTTACTGCAGAATACTGCTCAGAGTGTTGTCTATGTCATTAATAAGACTTGTGCCATTCCCTGATCGTGTCCCCTGAAACAAAGGAGAATCTCTGGCCCATATTTGAAATTATTGCTCAACTACATGAACCTGTGGATTCTGATTGCAGCAGCTTATTTTGATATATGTATTTTGCTGAGAAAGGATGCAGCCAGTCCACTGAAAGGAAATGTGGGGAATGAAAAAATATGAATATGTAACAATATAAAGCGAGACCAGAGCCCTGGCTTTTGAGTTAAGTAAAATAGCTAATCAGCAAAGCCAAAGCACCTGTTCATAGTCAGATCTAATTTCCAAAACAGATAATTCAAACAATCCAATCCCTTATACACTCTGCGTGCTTCTCTAGCTGGTTATATTCCCTTTGAAAACACTTGATCGCACTATTAGAGTTTGAGTGAGGGGGAAAAATTACAACGGTCAATCTAACTATCAATATATTGGACAGTGACTGGTGTGTCAGTAATTTGTCAATGTATAAATACCACGCAGATGCACCAGGCTAAATCCTGATATTACAGCCATTGGCATAGCCTCCTGTCCTGGGCCGTAGGCAAACTAAATGATAACCTAGAATTATGCACAACACAACTGTCCCCAAGCCTTCTCCCTTGTTTGTCCCTGCTGCCAGGTTTACTAGATCATCATTTATTTTGTTATCCAATTTAATTCATTGCAGATCTTCAGTGTGCTGCAGATTTTTGCATTGAAACCTATGAGTGCCCTACAGAAGTTGTCATGTTTTGATAGCTGCATAGGGGACTGCTGGAATCTCTGGCTCCCAGGAGGGAGTGGGAATTGTCTTTGCCAACTAGGAGGTAGTTAAAATGGTTGGCCCTGGAGAGAGGATGCATCTCTTCTCTCCCTCCCCTAGGGTAAAGGCAGAGATGAGTTTAAACTTGGGGGTGAGGGGCTGAATTCCTCACTCCCCAGCTTAGCAAACCTGGATACAACTGTGCGTCCTACTGCCCCTTGTCCCAGTATCAGCTCCTGCATCCAACAACGATGGGAAAAGATTCATTAGCCAGAATGTTTCTGCTAAAATGGTCCGGAGGAAACAGTTAACATCATCGACATTTTAAGTTTCCTCACTAGGCAGTCGAGTTAGCATCCCATTGCAATAAATAGGGGAAATCCAGTCTGCTCTCAAACCCATTCTGACTGCAGAGTCCAGCAGGCATCCCTGCCTGCTTTGCATTGGTTAAACATTTTGAAGGCTATCTTCCCAGCCATAAGGTTTAGCGGCTTAATTTTTTTCTTAGGCCTGGTCTATACTTTTGCTGCCTTAGCTATGTCAGGTGTGGTGTGGAGAAAAACTACCTCCCTTGCTGACATAGCTATGCCAGCAAAAGCCCTAGCGTAGACACAGTGATAGTGGCAAAAGGTCCTTTTGTCAGTATAGCTTATTTTGTTTAGGGAATTGGTTGAAACT